ATTAGTAATACTAATACTAATAGACCAATAGAATGTGAAACTGAATGTAGAACTTTTATGACCAAACACAATTGTTTAAAACAGTTGTTTCCTTCTGTATTGAGGAGAAATGACTACATCCAAGGTACTCATAAAAACAGACAACTTCCTATTCAAGCAAACAATGAATCACCAGTTAAGTCACCATCAGTTTTTTGAGAAAATATATACAAATAATATATATGGTATATAAATCTTCTCATTTACATTTGATTAATAAGGATTGCGTCAAAATCGCCTGTTGCTAAACCAAGATTGCACTGAAATGCCCAGCATGTTGTGTCTGCAGGTATGGTGTGACAAGAAGGAAATATGGGTAGAAGAATTACTAATTCTTGAAGACGTTGTTTCATATTATTTTAACCACTTACTGCTCTTGCTCTCTCTCTCTCATACCTCTTGCTGGTCCTTGAAGCTGGTGGACTTCCAGGGTAAGGGCCAATCACTCTTGCCACAAATCAGAACTGATTATTGGAAGATCACTGATGATATAAACATAAACTTGGTCTGAGACAGGGCCTCACAACATGTGGCCCTAGGCCATATGCACCCTGCACAAGCTTTTGGTGTAGTGCACCATACTCTGCCACCTCTGCTTATACCCCTCACATCACTACTGCTTTTGCCCACCACTGCCACTGTCCACCCCAGGAAGGAAGGAAGGAAGAAGAAAAGGGAGAAAGATGGGAAAGTAGAAAAAAGAGAGGAAAGGAATTCATAATTTAGAAAGCATTGTGTAGTGGTTAGACCCTTGACCCCACTGAATGGCTTTAGGCAATCTCTCCGTTTTAGAGGAAGTCAAAGGCAAATCCCCTTTTATGTAAATATGGACAAGAAAACCTTGTGATATGGTCATCTTAGGGTCACCCTAAGTCTGAAACAACTTGCACACAACAACAACAATCTCAATTAATCATTAATTATACCTTACTTGGAAAGTGAGGTGCTAAAAACCTATTTGAGGCCCTATGAGGCTTAGCCTATCTAATTTTGGCCCCTTGCTACTGACAGGTGGCACAGACCTGGTTTAAGGGCTACATGAAGTCTAAGGGTGCTTCCAAAATGTGGGGCCTGTCAGGCTTTTAACAGAGACATCCAAACGACATCTCTGGTAAAAGCAAATTAATTCAGGACAAAGCAGGACTATTTTAATGGCAGCTGGGTAAGTTATTTCTTGTTTTAAGGGTTTTTAAGGGGTTTAAGGGTGGCCCCATGTCATTCCAGTAATTACCAGGATGGCATGGGGTCCTCCCCCGGGGAAAGCCTGGGTTTTTGGGAAGGGCGTGTAGTCATAAACCCATGCTGAAAGGGGTTTTTTAAAACCCACTCTGGCATGGGTTTAAGCCATGTCTGGAAATGCCCTAAATGTACAGTCTGAAGTGCTGAACTATGGTTTGAGAGCTTCCAAGTTGCCAAGCATTATATCTGACCATGATTCCAAGCCAGTACCAATCATTCTTGCAGGGGGTGGATAATTGATTGTTTAGTAGGTGCAATTGCTCCAGTACCTCCACTAGCTAGAGAAAAAATGTTGCAAAAATATGTGAAAAACCTGTCAAAAATATTTTTCGAGTGTTGAAGGTCCCTAACAAGAAGAACCCTATACAGGCAAAATTTGTCATGGATGTTTTGCACAGAAAACAATATTTTCTGCATGACGAGTGATTTTTCTATACAGAAATATTATTTCCTGTTCAAAAAAGGTCAGCTACACAGAAAATCGTGAATGGGGGCTGTGTGTGAATTTTGTGCAGAATAAGCACAAATTACCTTTGAAAAATACATGATTTTCAAAAACATTTTCATACTGGTTAGGAAACTGCTAAAATGATTTATTACTTCATTGAAGAGTTACTTCCTATTCACATGTGAAATTATTTGTGCTGTTTTATACTATGCTTTCTAAGCTGTTGTTGCTGTTGTTGTCTCATTTCTTTTAGTTTTCATACATAGTACAAAGTGGCGTTGCTTTTGCAACAGTTCCAGTATCCCAGTCACCATAATCTGGCCTTCTTCTTGCACAATGCTATCATCACCTGACACAAAAACAACTCGGTAACTAAAAGAACATAACTCACTCTGATGAGCCCAGCTCATATAAACAAAGGCATAACAGAAAATATATGTAGCACATTTGTAAGGGGGAGTTAATCATACAGCATGTTCTAGAAAACAATTTACCATTTGACAAATGGGAGTGAGACAGAGAGTAGAGTGGAGCAACAGACTGGTGAATCCATTTCAGAGAATAAAAAGAAGTGAAAAACTCAAGGAAATCAACCAACATATTTGTGCATCCTCACATTTATTTATTTTTAGAGGGGGAAATATTTTCAAGTAATGGATGCTGGAATTAACAATGTTAGAACAATTTTAAGTATTCCCTTTAAATGATTTAAACAGGAGATTAAAAACTATATAATTAAAACTTTTTGAAACACATTTCCTTCAAAAACATTTCAATTCTAAATGACTTTCAGAATAATTTTTAAGCCTTTGATGCCACACAGATGGTAAGTTTCATGTGATCGCCTATTTTTTGAGTGATTCTCATTTGAGATAAAAGGTCACAGTTCTTAAAAATAATGTGATATTGATCAACCTGTCACCTGTTGCTTTTGTTTCTCAACCACAGACTTTCCCCCAGGAAGTACAGTGATGCCTGTGGGGTGCCAAAGTGACCCACTTCCTGATGAATCTGGAGCCCATGCAGTGCCTGGCAAGTATGGATGTACTGATAGCAGCATTTCAGAAAACAGGCTAAATATTTTAGTGACTGAAGATTTTTTTCATATGTGTCTACTAAAAAGGCTTCTGCAATGGTAAACCCATCTTGCCTGAGATGGGAGCAGGCCTGACTAACCTCCCTTCTTAACATAAATAATTTTTGAACATGATTTGAGAAAGCTGCAAATGCAACTTTACTACACATCCATACTATCCCCATCTTCATAATAATAATAACAATAACAATAACTTATTTTTGTACCCCGCCTCCATCTCCCCAAAGGGACTTGGGGTGGCTTACACATGGCACATGACACAAAGTGCCTAAAACCACGCATAAAATAAAATAAACACACAGTACAATACAAGATAAACCAGTAGTATATAAAACAACAATTTGAACTCAAAACAGTGCCCAATAACCTATAGTGTCAACTGTTGTAAAAACATGACCAACTGTAAAAAAAGAAAAAGGGAAAGGGATCATGCAAGTTGTAGTTAAGGTACAAGGGCATGGGATGAAAGTGCTGTGCTGTATCATAATGCGGACCATTGGGCTAGACATTTTCAAAGGCTTGTCTAAACATCAAAGTCTTCAACTCGCTCTGGATGGAATACAGAGTGGGAGCCTGCTTAATCTCCGTGGGGGGGATGTTCCAAAGCTGGGAGCCACTACCAAGAAAGCGTTCTCCCTCATCCCCACAATTGTGCTTGTGACAGTGGTGGCATATGAGGAGGGCCTCCCCAGCAGATCTTAACACTCACGCAGGAAACGGGGGGGGGGGGTGGTCATGAAGATAGGCAAGGCCCGAACTATTTAGGGCTTCCTTTACCCCTAAGAAGAACGTATACTAGGGCTAGGTTTGAACAACTCGGTATTATTATGCAAACTGGGCATTACTGTAACACCCCAAGAAGTGAGAGATTCTGAGTATGGGGAGAACAAACTGAACTGTGATACAGATATTTACAGCTATCAAGAAAAGACCACTTTTCCTGAAAGAAGAACCAGGAAAATAAGATTCTGACTGTAAATAGAAGGTCAGCTGCTGTCCTCTCCTGTTTGCCTTGTCTTTTACTCGTGTTGTATTTTGAAATGGTCATATGACTTGTCAAATAAATAAATACATTATTATTATTATTATTATTATTATTATTATTATTATTATTAGCATTATTATAATTTATGGCTTTATAGGTGATCTGTACTTTGAATTGGGACCGGAAATATATCGGCAGTCAGTGGAGCTGTTTTAATAGGGGCATCGTTCACTCCCTATAATTAGCTTCAGTTAGCAACCTGGCTGCCAACTTTTGCACCAGTTGTAGTTTTCGGGCTGCCTTCAAAGGCAGCCCCACGTAGAGTGTGTTGCAGTAATTCAACCTGAATATAACCAAGCCAAGGACCACTGTGGCCAAGCCAACCCTCTTTTTGCGCCCTCTGTGGCGCAAAAGTTTTAACTGGGCAAAAGCCCTTCCAGCCACCGCCAACACCTGAGCATCAAGCATCAGCATTGAATTCAGGAGGACCCCCAGACTGCAGACCTGCATTCTCAGGGTGAATGTAACCCCATTGAGCATAGGTTGCCACCCTATACCCCGATCAGCCTCGCAACTAACTAGGAGGACCTCTGTCTTGTCTGGATTATGCTTCAGTTTGTTAGCCCTCATCTAGTCCATCACAGTGGCCAGGATCTGGGGGGCTTCCTTGGAAGCTGGTGGAAAAGAGTAGTAGAGTTCAGTGTCATCTGTGTAGAGATGGCACTGATCTCCAAAACTCCAGATGTCTGCACACTGCTGATAATACATCTCTAGATATCTCCAGGTCCTCCAGTATCACTCTGTGGTCAACTTCCAGTGTAAGTTACCCATAGAATTACACTGGAGGACCTAGAGATTTCTAGAGATATATTATCTAAGGTTTAAAAATAGTGGGAGTTTTATTCACAGTCTTCCCATTTTCATTGGTGTTTTCGCACCCTAACCCCAATGTATGTGAAGAGGACACAACCATAGTAATGCTCTTAACCGTTTCTAATAGATATAGATATATGACTTTTGACTGTTCATTCCTGAGGTGGTTCAGAAATATTCAATAATCTTGGTCCAATTTTACTAGATTATTGATTATTCTAATTTGCCTTGCCCCATGGGTTTGGATATTGCCACCTGTAGTCATGCCGTTTCAATTTCCTTGCCAATTCCTTAAATATCTGGCATTTAACCACCAGCAGTCTCCTTAGGGAGGCGGATGCAGTGATTCAGCTGTTTTTCCTTGTGGCTGGATAATTTATGTTTGAGAAGGAGATTGGCTCCTTGCCCTTCGTTTATTTCATCCTTCTCAGTTCTGAATTATCAGAGCAAAGCCCAGGGTTGTTTTGTTTCAGAGCATTCGGTTTCTTTTTTCTTAACCTGCCTACTTTGCCTTTCTTTTTCTTTGACTTCAACTACCACTCAGCAGTTCAAGAAACACTGTATCAAGAAAACATGAAGATGTTGCTGCAGCACAGTTGCTGGAGAGATATTTCTATGCCTGCCGTTTCCTGAGACATCTTCTTGTTGGCTTTTTATTACAGCTCAGGGCAGCTAGCAAGCAGTAAAGTTGTTATTCGATTTCTATAATCGGAACATTTAGAACTGATACAAAGAGACAATATATTTATTTTGAGAGCCTGAAAGTTTTCACAAGAGTGCTATAGAGCAGACTGAAACAGAAAGCTTTTTCTTTTCTTTTTCTTCCCTCCTATTCATGAGTGACTGTGTCAAACTCTTCAAAGGAAAATGAGCATTCAATAACATCACTTCTCCGGCTGCAGTATGTTCACTTGGCTGGGACTTGATGAGAGGCAAAGGAAAGACCCTGAAGTATTCCAGACTGTGAGTGAGGGTCTCAAAAGGCTTTACCGCACCAAGCTTCTGCCTCTGGAAGAACACTATAAATTCCATGAGTTTCATTCACCTGCCTTGGAAAATGCAGATTTTGACAATAAGCCCATGGTCCTTCTTGTGGGGCAGTATTCCACCGGGAAGACCACCTTCATAAGGTAAGACCAGTTGACAGCTAAATTCCTTGGGAAACAGATGGTGAGAAGGTTATATTGCTTGAAGTGTGCATATGTGTGAATGAAAAATATTCTCTTTTCAAGGCTGAGTATCACTATTGAGATCTTAATTTGTGTACTTTCTTCTGGTTTATTATGTTGAGGTTAGAATGCTCAGTCATTAGTCTTCCACATTGTGCTTCCTGCAAGACTGGTCCTACCACTATCCACAGTGAGGCACCTGCCTCTGATGGAAAACACTTGGTAATATGGAAGACATCAACAATGTCAGCCCTTGTTTTGGAGTACATAACTATGTGTTCTACTCAAACTGTCACTCCTTCCTTCCATAAGCCTGCTGCCCTCAGATGAATGAAGGATGCTGTTCTACCATTAGTCATACAATCATAGAACCAAAGAGTTGGAAGAGACCTCATGGGCCATCCAGTCCAACCCCCTGCCAAGAAGCAGGAATATTGCATTCAAATCACCCCTGACAGATGGCCATCCAGCCTCTGTTTAAAAGCTTCCAAAGAAGGAGCCTCCACCACACTCCGGGGCAGAGAGTTCCACTGCTGAACGGCTCTCACAGTCAGGAAGTTCTTCCTCATGCTCAGATGGAATCTCCTTTCTTGTAGTTCCATCACGTCCTAGTCTCCAGGGAAGCAGAAAGGAAGCTTGCTCCCTCCTCCCTGTGGCTTCCTCTCACATATTTATGCATGGCTATCATATCTCCTCTCAGCCTTCTCTTCTTCAGTCTCCAGTAAGATCCAGCTCCCAGTTTTGAGGTTGGAACCTGGGGTTGAATTTTATTTTTCTCTCAAGGAGCACAATTTCTTGAGTCTACTGATTTTTTTTATTATTGTTTGTTTAGCAAAATTGCTTGTTTTTAAATATGCTTTGTAAATCCCATTCCAATAAAATATATAAAGCTGGTGAGATGGAATGTGCTTTCATTAATCTATGCTAGAATGGGAAGCTATCAAAATGTTGGCATCTTTGTTGGAGAATAAGCTGTGGCGGTTATGTTTCTGGAGAAAACACACATTTATGTTTCTGTAATCTTTGCAATGTGAGCAGAAAGTTGTGAAACCACTTAAGCCTAAGAAAACACATATTACTCTTGCTCATTCCATTACAGAACTAATGACTGATAGTCTCGTGTTCACCCTACAGAGTTTTTGAGGAGTTTCTGGAATACTGGATGCACAAATATAATGAAAACAGGTTGATGGTATCCCCTGATAAAATTTCATTCCTCTGAGAGCTTTTGCAGCTGAAAAGTGGGGTACAAATACTATATATAAATAAGTAAATAGAGAAATAAATGGAATATGCTATTTTTCCCAGGCAGTAGAGTGTATTAGGCCAAGTGTGTCACTGACCTTGGGCAATCGATGGCTTTTTACCTGCTCTAATGTGGCTGAAACCTAATGCTTATATATCAAAGAGCCAAGTAACAAATTTAGCAAACAGTTCAATAGATAGATTTTTTTCTTACCAAGGGAAGTTATTTAAAACATAAACTGGCAAAGTTCCAGTAAGCACATTTTTACAGTGGGCTTAAAGACGTGGAAACTCTGACTAAACACTCTGGTTGTACTATCCCAGCTTCCCTCAGTTTGGCCATCTCCAGAAGGTGTGTTGGGGGGCACCGTCCAACACACCTTCAAATTTACTATTTACTCGAATCTAATGTTCACCTTTTTTGGATAATAAACCTTGCTAAAATTGAGATGCACATTAGATTTGCTTCATACAGTAATCTTATGACATTATCAGACACGCTGTTCCCCCCTAATGTTACCGCAGGGAGAGAAAGGCCATGGGGTGACTCGAGTAACCTACCCTCCTCCTTGCTGTGTGATGGGAAGGGAAGGGTAGAGTAATCCCTATGGGTTGTGGGGTACCTCATTGTCCCTCCCCCCTCATCAGATGGGGAAAGCATCAAAATTGTGCTAAAGAGAAATTAAATAGCACAAAGCTTACCTATATCATGGCTACTGCCCTTGATGACCAAATTTCCACAGGTCCATGCTTCCTTTCCTTTTGATGCCAGGGCTTTGTGAAAAGGATGTGTCCATGGTCTGCATCATCTGATGGGCAGCATACAAGGCCGTAAAATAAGATTTTAAAAGCAGAGCCCAGAGTTATTTTCCTTTATAAAAAAAACTCATTTGATAAGGTTCCTAGTGCTTAGCCAAAGCAAAAGGGGAAGGTGCTTCAGGAGCGGCACCTGGAACTCCTCTTTGAGGGACGTCATCTCTAATTAAATGACCTGAGTTCAATGTTATGTGATTCTGGGATTTGTAGTTTAGTGAAGCACCCGCATTCTTTGACAGAAAAGACTCAAAACCTTGTCAAACTAGTTCACAGAGGAGCACATCTCTCTGGTGGCCCCTAGGACTCCATAGCACTTAACCAAGGCAGTTAAAGTGGATTCATTCTGCAACATACATGCACCCTAAGGTTTTATTTTCCATTGCTAGAAGCTTCAAACAGTAACGTGTACCTTTTTAAAAGCCAAATTACAAAGAGCACACTTTTTGCCACTGCTCCTTACATTCAGCAGTAAATACTTTTTTGGTTTCAGGGTTTTGAAAATTGAGGTACACATTAGATTCAAAGGTGCATTAGACGAGTAAATAAATATGGATATATGGAAGGTCTCGAATTGGGGAAAACTGTGTTATCCAGAAGAGCAGGGATAGTGGTGTGCTTGTATTTGGTGCCGCATTGGGTTCAAATTATTACTTTGATAAGTGGAATCTTGAGTCATATGCCAGACTTTACCTCTGTCTAAAAGCTTCTGGCTTAGCTTGAGCTGAGAAGAATTGACTGAAACGGTCATTTTCTAAACAGTCAAATTATTACACTTCTGGAAGACATACGAAACTACAGAGACATGGCCAAAAAAGATGCCCTCCTGGGGCTTTGAAGCTGACAAGAAAAGAAGCCTGCTGTGATTGAGATCATTGAAGCAAGACTGAAGTATGGCTGTCCTGTTCCAGAGAAATCCAACTGTGTTTTCTTTCTAGAAGAGAGCCTCTTTGTCAACTAAAGGGTATTCCTTTAACTTTGCTGGCTTCTCTGTGTCTATCCTTCCCATTGTGTTCTCCTTTTCTTACCTCAGCTTGACCTGCCTGATCTCCAAAGAGTATATGTTGGTGTAGGAGTTTAGCTTTTCTGCATGGAATACAGCATCTCCTAAATTTAATTCTACCTATGCCCATTAGTTAATCTATTTCTTTAGTAATTTTTTTCCATTCCATCACCCCTCTAATGATCTTAAGGTGACAAACAGGACTTTCCTTATCCCCGCAGCAACTCCATTAGATAGGCAAGGCTGAAACAGAGTAGGTAGCTCAAGGTAATGAACTGACTTGTATTTTAAGGAGGACCGTAACTGTATTTAACACAGTACCCTATATAACTTTATCCTATATTGCTTGTATAGGGTAGAGAGGGTTGAAATATGGTATCATTGAGGGGCAAATCTGCCCTGAGTGTATTGCAGTAATGATTCATTTATGCTGATCTTCCTGGTGTTCAAAGCAACACAGAGAAGAATACCTACTTCCCTGTATGTGAGTCTTCCACCAATATTGAATATGCCCATATTAGTTTCCTACATTTTGTGCCCCATAATGTCATTTTGTGCTCTTAAGAAATTACTATAGTACTGAATTAACTGCTGGTCTTGGACAAGAGAACCAACTGAAAGGACTTCCAGGCCCTGAGTTTATAGTAGACTTTAAGCAAGTCACACTTTCTCAGAGGAAGGCAATGGCAAGCCCCCTCTGAACAGATCTTGCCAAGAAAATTCTGTGACAGGATCATTTTTGGCCTCATCTAGACTGCTAGTATAATGTAGAATGAACTGGATTGTATGGTAGTGTAGATTCATATTACTTACTTAGGCAATCCCTCATTGTCTGAGGATGATGGTCCTCCAAGATCGGTGTCCTGGCAGTGGGTCCATAGGTGACTGTGGAGCCCTATTCTTGATCTGCATCTTCTTCCGCAGTGAGGGCATTGGTTTCCAGGTGGAAGGCGATCCTGGTCAGGGTTGGCTTGACACACCTTCCTCTTGGCACATTTCTCTTTTTCACCCTCCACTTGTGCCTCTTCAAATTCTACAGCACTGCTGGTCACAGCTGACATCCAACTGGAGAACTCAAGGGCCAGGGCTTCCCAGTTCTCAGTGTCTATGCCAGAGTTTTTAAGGTTGGCTTTGAGCCCATCTTTAAATTTCTTTTCCTGTCCTCCAACATTCTGTTTTCCATTCTTGAGTTCAGAATAGAGTAACTGCTTTGGGAGATGGTGGTCGGGCATCCGGACAACATGGCCAGTCCATGGCGGAGGACCATCACTTCAATGCTGGTGGTCTTTGTTTCTTCCAGCACACTGACATTTGTCTGCTTGTCTTTCCAAGAGATTTGCAGGATTTTTCAGAGGCAGCACTGATGGAATCATTCCAGGAGTTGCATGTTACATCTGTAGACAGTCCACGTCTTGCAGGCATATAGCGGGGTTTATAAACAAGCTTTATAAACAAGAACCTTGGTATCCCTACTGATGTCCCGGTCCTCAAACACTCTCTGCTTTATTTTTAAAAATGCTGCACTCACAGAGCTCAGGCGGTGTTGAATTTCAGTATCAGTGTTGGCCTTTGTGGAGAGGTGGCTGCCAAGGTAGTGGAAATGGTCAACATTTTCTAATGTTACATCATTAAGCTGTATTTCTGGCATTGGAGATGGATTGGTTGGTGACTGCTGGAAAAGCACTTTGGTTTTCTCGATGTTTAATGACAGGCCAAGCTTCTCATATGCTTCTGCAAAGGTGTTTAGAGTGGCTTGTAGGTCTTCTTCTGACCTACAAGCCACTCTGAATGCACACAGATGACGTTGTCATCAGCATACTGGAGTTCTATAATAGATGTTGTTGTAACCTTGGTTTTGGCTTTCAGTTTGCTGAATTTAAATAGCTTGCCATCTGTCCAATAGATAATTTCTACTCCAGTGGGAAGCTTCCTATCAACAAGGTGAAGTATCATAGCAATGAAGATGGAAAATAAGGTTGGGGCAATAACACATCCCTGTTTGACACCCGATTCCGCCTTAAATGGGTCACTTTGGGAGCCATTGCAGTCCCAAGACTGATGTCATCATGTCATCATGGAGGAGCTGCAGGATGTTCACAAATTTGTTGCGGCACCCAATTTATTGAAGGATGGTCCAGAGAGTGCTGCAATTCACTATGTCAAATGCCTTTGCAAGGTCAATGAATGCCATGTAGAGTGGTTGATTTTGTTCCCTGCATTTTTCTTGGAGCTGTCATGCAGTGAAGATCATGTCTACTGTTCCTCTGGAGGGGCAGAAGCCATTCTGGGAGGGTGTCTTCTGAGAGGGGTAGTAGGCGGTTTGCAAGGATTCTTGCAAGGATTTTTCCAGCTGAGGTTAGAAGCAAGATACCTCGATAATTTCCGCAGTCTGTTCTTTCCCCTTTTTTGAAGAGGGTGATGATGGTGGCATCCTTGAAATCTGCTGGGATTTTCTCGGTCACCCACACTTTTTCAATGAGTTGGAGTTGGTGTGTCAGCTCAGGTTCTCCCTCTTTAAAGATTTCAGCAGGGATCCCATCAGGTCCACTGGCTTTGTTATTTTTTGTTGGCTGATGGCATTGCTGACTTCTTCCAAACTATATGAGTGGTAGACTCATATAATACAGTTCAATCTACATTATATGAGTTCAAAGTGCATTATACAGCAGTATAGATGGGGTCTTAGGGTCACTACAAGTTAGAAATGTCTTGAAGAAACATAAAATCTGTTTTACTGACATGTAACCATTGGCACCTATTTCTTGCTAGTTTAAATTTAGGAAATCGAGATAAGGCCAAAGAAAAGAGATTATTTTCCTCCTCTAAATGTTATAGCCAGAAATAGCCTCATATTGCTGGCAAATATGATTCTCATCTCCTTTGCAAAGTAAGGCAGTATATAAATACAAAAAGGCATTGTACTTAGAGGTCAACAAAGGGCGAGTTGCCTCCTATTGAGAGCCAGAGGGCTATAACTGAAGTCAGCATTGCTAAAAGCAACATTGTTTAATGTGAAGTAATCAGATCGATAGCCATCAATGTTGTGCTCAGGTTTCTTTCCTGAAAGTGGCACAATGGCTCATATCCTGTACAGCTGAACAAGTTTGTGTTGAGCGCAAAAATCTCCAAGGACTTGTTCTTATGGAAGTGGTTAAAGTAGGAACTGTTATCACAGCAGCATTCTGTAACCTGCCACTAAGTGTAGCTGCTGTTTCCGTCCTTTCTCACAGCTGCTTTATCAGCATGAAGAAAGAAGATGAGCATGCAATATAGAAAAATCCTGTCTTCTTAGAAAAAAGAGCAGTGTGAAGTTTTATCTGCCCATGCAATATCATACAAATTAGGTTCAGTGCTTTTGATCATTATTACTGGTCCCAGGCAGAGTTTTAAAATGTTTATTTTTTGACTGAGCTCCCAAAAATCAGTGACAATCATAGTCCAAGCAAATTATTTTACCAAGCTCAGTTGTCAAGGATTAATACTAGGATTCCAGTGGCACTGCCTTCTGCATATGCGAAAATGGTTGGTAATAATGTTTATATTTTCAACCCTAAGGGCATGAGTTTGCCCTTCATATGGAACCATGGCTCATTGCCACCAGAGAGATGTGCTCCTCTGTGAACTCTTTTTGGTGTGTGTCTTAACTGGGCAGAAAAAAGGACCCAGAGCAATGGGTTCATAGGAAGAACTGTTTACTAGTGAAATTCTCTGCCTTGGAGTGTAGTGGAAGCTCCTTCTTTGGAGGCTTTTAAACAGAGGGTGGATAGCCCTGAGATCACAGGAGGCTTCTTGTGTTCTCATTAGGTTAGCTAGGGAGAACAAAATAACAGGAGGGGTTGGGGCAGGCCCGTAGCCAGGATTTTGTTTCGGGGGAGGGGGGCTGAGTTTGGTTCAGGGGGGCTGAGTCTGAGTGAAAGAGGGTCTACCCTAGCAAACCTTTTGTATCATTACCCCAATACCCCCATGCATATGGGATATATTGAGTATGGTGATCAGATCATGATATGAATAAACATAACAGTTTAAATAATGAACCAGTAAGGCCTTTTCGTGAACCACCATGAGAATTTTGGGGGGGGGGGCTGAAGCCCCCCAAGCCCCCCCCCCCAGCTACATGCCTGCCGGGGGGTGACGCTTTCCCCTGTGTGATGGAGATGGCAGCAGTGTGGGTGGTGCAGGGTATGGGACAACGGCTTCCCCCGCTGTCTGCCAGATTTACCCCATTGCCCCACGGAAGCCCCCACTGTCCCTCGGTTTGAGGACTTCAGTGGGATGAGGTCCTTGGAGGGCAAGCAGCTCACAGTACTGATCTAGAGAGCTGGTCAACTTAGGAGCTGTCTGTTTTGTATGATATTTTCCTGGTTCACAGTGATCCTGCAGTTACCACATTAATGCTGCACATATCACACACATTGTGATGAGGTCACCAATACTAGTCACACATTTTCCCCCCTACAAATTCACCTCACTGTTAGAGGTTGGTCGACATTCAAGTCCTTTGCAACAGAGGGTAACAGCCAAGGTTTTCAGAGGGAACACCTTAAAAAGGGGGGGTGGGATCTGCAGTTGTTCCCAGAAAATGCTGCCTGAGCTGTTGTAAAGCATGTATGTATACAGGTCAGGTGCTGGTCATACTAGATGGTGATTATAGGATTTGTAGTGTAAAATGTAATGTTTCTGAGCTCTGTCTACTCTACTCTACTCTACTCTACTCTAAGGATAGAATTAGGGCAGTTTGATATTGCTTTAACCGCCAATACTCAGTGCTATGGAAACCTGGGAGTAGTAGTTGGAGAGAGTACCAGCACTCTCTGGCAAAGAAGGCCAAAGAAAAATACAAAACACACATGATTTCATAGCATACTACAGAGTCATAGTAGTTAAGGTGGTGACAAACTGCATTAATTCTACAATATAGATGCACCCTTGTTGTCCCCTGGAAATCGTGGAAAAAATGACAAGCGCTATCTGACTGAAGAAGTTATGTTGTGTTTTAATGGTAGATAGTATAAATTCTTAGCCTGAAAGTTCAACTTTATTTTTGCCCTCCAAGTTCTGGAAATGTTTACATTCAAGGGAAGGATAATTGTCCAACTTTATGTTTATACTTTTGCATGGAATTTCTCTACCATATAATTGAATATGTACTGTGTTTTATCTTTTTCTTTCATTCTTAGGTACCTTCTTGAACAAGATTTTCCTGGGATGCGGATTGGGCCTGAGCCCACCACAGATTCTTTCACTGCTGTGATGAAGGGAGATGTGGAGGGCATCATTCCTGGAAATGCATTGGTAGTAGATCCCAAAAAGCCTTTTAGGAAGCTGAATGCCTTTGGCAATGCCTTCTTGAACAGGTCAGCATGGAGGTCTTTGCAAAGTAATTGTGAATCTGGTCCCTTGAGTTTCAATCATGTCCATGCTAAGTTTTATGGCAGATGTGATAAAACAATATGCTCCTCCGTTGCATTTTATTTAGTTATATTTTTGTCCCCCATTTCAATTATGTTACTCTTTTGCAAAAAATTGTGAAAGTCTTCATCTATAAAAAAATTGTTTTTATACAAAATCTGCAAATGAAGACAAAAACCAAATTGAATAAGCATTTGTACTTTAATTTAGGATGAAAAAATATCCACAGCAAATATTATTCTAAGGGCAATGTCTCAATTAGTGAAGAAAA